TAGAGTTTCAAAGTACTAACAAGTTAGACACGAGAACACACATTTCCAGATGTGTATGCATCATAATCATATGGAAGGCTAAAGGTCATTGAAGGAAGCCTTTACTGGTTAAAAGGTAAATACAGTGATGATTTGATGGATTGGGCAAATAATGGCCAACGTTGAAGGATCTTAATTGTTTCAAGGGTATCAAAATCTGAAAGGGAGTGGATTGGCAAGTTTTGACAAAATACAGCCTTAACCTTTTTGTGATTCACTGATTTTTAGTCAAAGATAACCTTTATTTGGAAACTGTACCCAAAAAATACACATGTACGACCTGGAAACATTGCCCTTGCACTTGTAAGATAAACTGCCCCAAAGCTACCATAAAAACTGCCTTACAGCAGACCTCGGTGAAATTCTTGTCAAGGTGAAAACTTGTGTTAGTCATAGATGATGTTGTTTCACACATTGTCAATATCCAAGCCCAAACACCCATAACTACAGACTCATTGGTCTTTTAAAGTCAGTGATAGAAGTAAGTCACATTAACAGCATCCCACTGGCAAAAAGTAATTTTGTGCATAAAGCACTAAAGCCGACAGACATATCGCATCGCCTTGTAGGACTCGTAAATATGAAGATGCTATCACCAAAATTTGAATCTTAAAAGCCGATCTCTCCTAGACAGCGTTAGAAATTGGCACTAGTCCTTTAGTCCTTACCAAACTGCCCAATAGTAAAGGTATCCTAAGGACTAGTAGAAATTGGCCCATTTTAAGGGTTTTGCTATATGTTATCATTATAAGGACTAGTGGACAAAAACTGTTAGTTTCTAACCCTGCTAGATATGCACCAGTTTTTTAGGTACACCTTTCAAATTATCAGAGAGAATAACACACAATGCTCTGCTATGATTTACCCTCGAGGCAATGATTTCAATTTATTATCAATAACCTGGCATTATAGATTGACTTCCTGGAAGCTCAGGACTTGCACCTGGAGACTTGGATGAGGTTACCAAACTGAGAAAATACACAAGCACCTTGGTGAGTCAGCGGTGGCTGTTCACATGGCAAGCATATGAGATGATATTCTTTGTTTATGATAGATGCATATTTTGTAAACTTTGCCACAAGCAGGGTTCATGTATAGCACAAATATGTGTAGCTTTCACATGTTGGGGTACTTGGGTTTAATCCTCCAGAAAAACTGCATTAAACATATATGTGATTATTAATTCCACACTGACCAGCTGTCTTGAGGGGAGTGGTCTGTTTAAATTTGATCAAATTACATTGAAAGGATAAATTTGTGAAGCACAGTTTGGTATTTCCAGAATACATGAACATTCAAAATATTGATATTTATAAGTTATTTAATATCTACAACTGGCATAACAACTATTTGTTATCAAAATGTATTTCTAAATATAGATTCCATACTCCATACTGTTCGTCTGACAACTATTAACATTAAACTATGAACTATATACCAAACCAACAAACATCAACCCAAAAAACACATCTCAACATTTAGCCATCAACAAATACTCTGAAAAACCAAAATAAATAAGGGGGCCAGCATTTGCAGTTTTAATCAAAACAAAAACATTTTCTTTCCAGCTGGTATCTTGTTGGCTAGACGGTGTGAAAACTGAATCGGGTGAAAACACAGGTATCTGATAAAAAGAAAATAAATCAGCTTCGGTGAGTAGAGTGATGGGACTGGCGTATTCCACTGATTCAATTAACAAGAGTTTCGACCTGGGATAGAAGGGGTCAGAGAAGACGGCCCAGGTTTACACCTGGAAACTGGGGCGCCTTGGGCAGATACTGGTTGCCTCGGAATGTCTTCAGAATGCCATGAGTTTTGAACCATGCTGTGTACAAGGCCACCCAGGTCTGATAATGTAGGTCTGATGGACTGTATCACATCATGAGATCTTTATATCAGAACTTTGGGTGTTAGGTGTAGGTTGGTCGGGCATTACCTGCAGATTTGCCACAGCTATCTACGATGACACTCTCAGAGTTAAAAGTGTTTGGAAAACCACAAATCCGAAACAAAATGAAACTGGATTCAAAATTCTGACCAAACTTTAAAACCATAATTCTTATGTTTCAAGATTCAAGTTATTTTATTGTACAAAACATCTCAAGTAAGTGGTAGATTACAGAATCTATACTACAAATATAACATATTTGATATTTGAAAGCTACATATGTTGCCACTAGCGTGGTAATTGAATGCCAAGCAGTGTTTTCCCTTTCAAAACAGATAATCCTTTCCCTGTCTTCATCCTGCTTATTAAAAGATGATATATGACTGAAAAATCTGGCAAGGCCGTGCTTGAAGCTTCATACAAATCTTCAGGTTGGATCCACGCGCATGGAAACTAAATCCCTTTCATTAGCTTCATTCTCCTCTCTATTTCATAACAAATCTCTAGGATTACACCTAAAACCATGCTAATTTATCATGAACAAGTTGTTCCATAAACATCACTCAATTGTGTCATCAGTCTGGTACTGTTTTCCACGCCACTACCTCTAGTGTTTATAACAAGACCTCAGCTGTGGCCTCAGTAGATACAAACATATTAGGGCAATTAGGAAACAGGAGCCTAGCCAAACAAACCATCGCGTCTACTAGGCATCTCCGACAGTCTCAACCAGCGGCTCCATCACTGATAGACAGTCAGCTAGGCATCTCAGTCTCAACCATTGGCTCCACGACTGACAGACATAGGTAAAAGTATCCTCACATACCAACAAACATGTCATGTGACCTATATACATGTTCACTGATATATGAAGCTCATCAACATTGCAAACTGCTGAGGTAATGGCAAGATTTGGTAAGGTTAATTATCTCATTTGGAAGGGTGTTTGTATTTCCATGAAGTTGGGTTCCGCTCAATAGCAATCCCGTTGAAATGACTACCATTTCCTGTCTTCTGTATTGATTTTGAATAAATGAATAGACAACACAGACAAATGCTGAGAAGGCACTTTTAGGATATTGTTCATGTGACTTCTATAAATATATCGTGATGTAATTTCCATAATACATAATAAGCAAGGGAAAATGAAATTGACAACCCTTGTAAAATTCAATTTTTTCATGTTCATATTTTTGTAAATATGGAGGAATTGAGAAATCTAAAGACAAATTGGAATTTTTACTGTGCTTTGTTGCAGATTTGGGGCAGAATATCGGCCTCTGAGCAGGTCTAGATAAATCTCTGAATAGTGATGCGAAATGCTTGCCACCCATACCCAGCTTCAGCAACAGTCAAGGGTTCAGAAGGCTGTACCGTCCCTTCTTCACTGTATAAGAAGATAATAAACCATCAGACAATTACCTCCATGCACAAACACCTCTGCATATATTAACCATATGGTAAGAATAATCTGTTCCAGACCCGTGGTATGTAGAAAACCTTTGCCCATCTCTATTCTTCCTCAACCTACCACCTCAACAAGCAACGTCCTGACATTTCCATGTTCATTAATTTACCTGTTGCCGACAAAAGCAGGTGAGAACCTTTGCCCGGCTTACTTTCCCTCTCCCACACCTGAGGGTCGTTAGACGATTCCCTTACAAGATTACTCATAAGGGAAACATCATCTCTGTGACAAGTTATTTCAACAAAAGCTTCCAAATGTGAAACAACAACACTGTAAGTCTCTGTAAGAAAAGGTGCTGGCATGATACTGTTCCCCTAAAGACAGTCTACATTCATTAGGTTGAACCACTGTGGTCTTCAGAGGAAGCCTTCAAGCAACCTAAGCATAACCAAAACATTTACATTTACCTGAAGGCACCGATGTATGACTGCAGATGAAGAAGGATTATTGAGATAAAGCTTTCAAGGAGTCGGGGAATTTTGCCTCAAGTTACTACACATTTGTGAGATATAAATGACTCTTCAGATGAGAATTTCTCATTTTAAACAATGAGTTTGAGCCAGATTTTTGTTGTATAAGAACACAATTGGCTTTGCGTGGATGTTAGGTTTTTGCTTTTAAAAGACATCATTGAATTGACTGCTTGCTTATATTTCCAAGGTTCCTTTCATGATAAACCTTCCAGGTCGAGACCCTACAAGAATGAGTCTTTGGTCTTCAGATCTGACAAAGTAGCTTACGTTTTTAGAAACAAGAAAGTTGTTTTGTTTTAAGCTCCACACAGTGGTGTTTGCCCCTCAAAACTCTCAACTGGGATTTTAACAGGAAGTAGCATGTGTTGTGGAGAGTAGGACAAAATGCTCCAAGATGAGATGAAAGATGGTTTATTATGCAACAACACATGTTTCGCTCTCTAAACATCTCACGTAACAACCTCCCACACAAAAACTAGCAAAGTTGGCAAGGAGTTCAGAACAAATCTAAGTTTTATTCAGGATGGCAGATATTTGTATCCTTACATGAAATGAGGCAAATACATCTTCCTATTTGGTTTTACTCCTAGTTCATAATGACATGCAGCAGTGAGGGTATACTGCTCAAAGTTTGATAGGGATCCTGAGATAGGAAGCTGTCCTGGCTCATAAATGACATATATTTGTTTAATTTTTGTTTAACACTACACTCATTATATTCAAGCTATATAACGATGGCCTGTAAATAATCATATCTGGATCAGACAATCCTGTGATTGACACTGTGAATACCAATCTACATTGTCAGGATATTATGACAAGCAACTGCCTTCAATCTATCAGTTTGATGTATGACTGAATAACCACATGTTTTCCCCTGTTGTTTCGGTGTTGATTGTTCTGCTACAGAAAATATGAATACAATTTGGATGCAATATAATAACGTATACTCATATCCAAGAACCAAACATTATTCTTGGAATGTCTTCCGATCAATAAGGCAATAGGTCTGAATACATCCCTCTTCAATATCAAAGACATGTGCTTCAGGGTTTACCTAACATTTGCATCCTATTTCAGACATTCCTTCATCACTTGCCCAAACATTTACATCATTCTGATAAATTCCTACCTGACAATATCTCGGAGATCGGCTGGATCCAGTGGACGAGACGACTTCGCTGGCACGCCATAACTAGGCTGGCCAGGACGGTTATTATTTGGCTTTTGCAACCCACTGGCTGGCAACCTTTGATAACCATTATTTGGGTAAATCTCTTTCGGGAAAGTAGTATCTTTCAGATTGGTGTCATCTTTAGGAAATGCAAGTTCATCCAAAGCATGGCCTGCGAATCCTTCGTGGGAGTACAAGTTGCTCTGACATGAAATTGTCTGGTACCCTGGGTTGGGGAACTTGTTGCTGGGGCACATATTACCCTTGTATTCATTGCTTTGGTACTGGTAGTTGTAGTTCATGGTTTGCGACCCGTACATGTTGGTCTGCGATGAATACATGTAGGTCATGTACACCTGCCGAGACATGGTGGCGATCTGGAAACAGCTGACTCGGCTCCTTAACACTTAGCGCCAGATGGAAGGGATATTTTCAATACCATTGTTCTAACAGAGAATCCTTTGAGGATATTTTAATATTTAGCAGACAATGCATATTTTGGCCTCCAAATGCTAACCTTCTTCAGATGGTACTTTCCAGTTCCTTCTCACCAATTATATATATATTGATGCAGATCTTAATGTTTTCATTTAATCTCAGGCAACATCAAAAACAAATCTCTAAAATATTTTTGACAAAATTTCATATCATTCACTTTAAATCAAAACATTGAAAACCTTGATTTTTCTGAAAGTCTGAAGATAGTAAACAAGTTTTTCAAGAAGTGTATGTATCCCACACACACAGGTATCTAGCTGTGGTGTAACAATGACGAGAAATCGCAGGTAAGTTTCTATCTAAATGTCATGAGGGAAGAAAAGGTGTACAGAAAAGTATCCCGTAGAGACACTGATCTCTCAGTAACAGCTGAGCTACTTGATTCTCATATCATGAACTTATCCAGTGTCGCCCAAAAGGTTAGTCAGTTCAATCTTCCAGAGGACCAGGATGTTGGTGCTTTTTCTTCTTCGTGACCTGGCCACAGAATGTTCAGATTATCCCAATCATGGTTCCCGATTGTGGAATGATGGTACAAACAGAATAATGTTGATATTCGTCTTGTCTCTTGGTTAAATAATCAAATCAGACAGTTCACAGATGCGCAAATTCAAGTTCAGAAATAATTGATGAAATTGTTCCTCATAAGATCGAAGGATGCTGATGTACAAGCAGTGAATGAGTCAATAAAAATGGAACAAATACCTGAAGCAGTTCTCCTGTCTCAATTACACAGAGACACAAAATCTTTACAACATCCTCAAATGAAAAAAATCACAATCAAACTGTCACATGAAATGTTAGCTGACAATTTGAAGCCACCAGTTCCGTACGTCAATGAAAAGTCAAGTTCAAATCTTCACAGCTCCCACTTGAGACAGACACAATTAATCCACAGGATCATGGAAGGGACTCATCTAGCATATACAAGCCTACAGGATAATATACATGTGCACACACAGCGAGGAAGTGGGCATGTTTCCTCATCTACAGCCTACAGAGAAGTGAGGCGTCTGCTCCGCTGCCGTCTGCCTGCTGGCGTCTGCTCGCAGCCACTGGGAAACTGTATCATTAGCAGACGGGCACTAAACTTGCCTGCAGTTAGTCTGTCACTGGTGGCCAGTAGCTGGTCTGCCAGGTCTGCTGTTAGTAGGGTCTGTTTTTTCTGAGGTCTGTTGTAAATACAGACCAGCAGGTCTGTCAGTGGTCTGCAGCACTGAGGGGCTGGTGTGACTTGCCTCTCAGTCTCTCAGTATGCGGCAGTGTCTGGTGGTGAATTATCTTAAAATATCCACATACTAAAGAGCTTCATACCTCTGAAGTTCAATAATTCGATAAAATGATGGAAATGAGATTCTATTCTTGTAACCAGAGCCCAAGCACAGTTCTGATTAATAACACTGGATTCAAGTCTCTTGAAGACCCATCAAGAAGTGAAATTGTTGGAAGGAAGCAATAATAGGTGGAAAGTTTTACCAACTTTTCTGGTCAATTGTATTGATGAATATCTTGTAGTCTGCACTCCCAAAATAACCCCAAGTCGGTTTCACATATATATGAAGTTACTTTACCGAATTTACTGAGGATTTACTTCAAATAATGAATCATTTGAAGGATTTAAATGTGGAAGATATAATTCTCTAATCAACAGAGAGATAATGAAGGGTTGAGCAAACCTATGGAAAATTCAATGGGGAACATCCATTTTTTGGAGTCATCACGTGCCTTTCAGCAATATTCCAGCAATATCATCATAAACTGGGGACCCCTAGAATGGTCTTCACACATAAAAACCTATTAGGGAAATCATAATGTCCATATTTATAAAGCGCCAAATCCACACCCTAAAATCTGCTGAAAGTGCTGCATTATTACCCAGGTCAATGGATCAGTGAGCACTCAATTTTCATTCTCAGCTCCCTGGGGAGTATACAACCCAAGCTGCCTGTGAAGCATAAGAAGGTTAACAGTCAGCATCTCACCCTACCATGAATCCATACCGTACATAACCTCTTTCAGGACAAAATGGGGGGTGGGGGGGTGTGCCACAGGTGGGCCAGTCGTCTGAGGTGCCGTGATTCGTTGTGCAGAGTTGTGTCCCTTGGGCATGCCAGAAACCTATGATTGTGGGTTCAAATCTCGGTTCGCCCCAATTACTTTTCTAGGTTTATCAGCACCATACCCGTGCTCGTGGGTTTCACCGAAGTGGTAAACGTCTGAGACCTGCATCACTTCAGACTTTCCTCCCACATTAATCTGACACACTGCCATATAACTGGAAAAAGCGGTGTTACACCCAACTCACTCAGGACAAAATGTCCCTTTAACAAACTGCCTGCAAGAGCCATGACTTGGTACTTGCAATTACCAGACAAACTAGTGACTGATATAATGACCACCAACTGATGCCGTACTATGACCCTCGAACAACCAAGCCACCCCCCATCCCTTTTGTCGCCTCACCAAAAACCATAGGTTGATAGGGATGTATTCAAACCTGGAATCGAGGGGGCTACAAGATGTGGAACTTCTACGACAGTACACCTGGTCGTTAGTTACCTACAAGCGATGAATCAGCTCCTACATCTCCCATAGCTCCTACACCTTGTTTACCTGTGATAACAAGAAGTAAACACAGCTCCTATTTCAGTTACAGAAGCCCCATTGTCCTTCCCTATATCTCCCTGGAACACTCTCTGGAGGTGCATGTCTTATAACGGCTATGTGTTAACTTCAAGCGATGAGGGCTAAGTGAAAGTCAACAACTCTTAATCCTGACTTTTTAAAAAAAATCTTTTAAAATAAACATGCAAGGATATTTTTAACGGTTTGCCAGGAGCTTGCTTAAGTGTGACGAAGTTATAATGACGAAAGACATGAAATTCTCGTATAACTAAAGAGCAACCCATATTTTCTCCCACAATTAGCACACTGAGGATGACTCACTGTTCTTTCTCATCATCTTCATTAAATTTTTGCCCATATTTTTAAAATTATGTTTTTCAATTAAATTAATTTTAATATTGCCACATGAAAATCAAAACCAATAAATTTCTATTTCTTCCATAATTTAATTAAATGGATATTAGATTTTTGGTTTAATGTATTATGACATAACATTTAACCCTATGTTGTTCACAAAATAAAAAACTGAAAACGTTTCATAACAAATCACTATCAATCCTTACTGACAATGAAACTCCCATGAAAGCAATACCTAATCTCCTTATATTAAACATCAAAAGTAATAATCATCTTCACAACATTCATAACCATTATCCGTGGACTCAGCTTCGTCTTTTTTTTTCGGTTCTAGCATTAAAGGGACAGTACTTCGACATCCTGGCCCATTAGTTGCACATCATAATCGAGAAGATCTTAAACATAAAACCTACACGTGCCATACTGATGACGTCAAGAAGCTAAATGTGTATGCAGTTTGTTAGTTTTTTTCCTATTTATTATCAATTTTTCACTTTTCATATGCAAGCACAGAGCTAGGTCTAATCTGTCCTTGGAATCATTAAATGTCATCAGATGAAGATGGTCTTTACATGAAATATTTCCTATGAGGGCTACGACTCTGCGAGACTGTGTGGGTGGAAGGATAATGATGTCACCAGGGATGGTTTGTATCAGCCATCATAGACTGAAATATTTAATATACAATGATACGAGACTGTGGAGGAGTTGGATTAAATGATGCTATCAGCAACAGTCAGATGAATAATTGTAAAATTGCTCTGATAACACATGTTAACACAAATAAGCTTTATCTAAATAATAATAATAATAATAATAATAATAATAATGATGATGATGATGATGATTATGATAATAATAATAATAATAATAATAATAATAATAAAAAAAAATATAAAAAAATGATAATAATAATAATATTTTTAAAAAGTGACAAAACCCCTTCCATATGCATAACAAATCTCTGCTGAAACCAGAGTTGATTATACCATATCATAAGCATGTGTTTATGAATCACAATCAAATAGTGATGATACCTTGTGTTCACGTTAAGCAGAGCGTATCCTGCCACACCGGTAGCACCCGCCACAAACGCATGCAAAAACAAGTCAATTGTCCGCTTGAGAAAACATCTGGCACAGCAAATGGAATTGCATCAAACATCATTTTCATCACTGATGCGTCAAATTTGTCAACTATAGCCCATTAGGCTGAAATTATTGACTTAGGTCAAAGTCATGCAGATTACATGACACAATCAATGCAAAATGACAAAACTTGTAATTTGTGGGAGGACAAGCATAATTTCAGCATAGTTGCAGGTTCAAAATAGTAATAATTACACCAAAATCAAACATGCAAAAATCTTAACAATAACACCAAAATCATAACTATTACACCAAAAACATAACTATTACACCAAAATCGTAACTATTACACTAAATTCATAATTATTACACCAAAATTGAATCTATTATGCCAAAATCGTAACCATAACACCAAAATCGTAACAATTACACCAAAATCGCAACTAGCATGCCAAAATAGTAACAATTACACTAAAATTATAACTTTTATGCCAAAATCGTAACTATTACACCAAAAATGTAACTATTACACCAAAACGATAACAATTACACTAAAATTGTAACTATTATGCCAAAATCGTAATACTTACACCAACATCATTACTATTACACCAAAATTGTAACTATTATGCCAAAATCATAACTATCATGCCAAAATCATAACAATTACACTAAAATTGTAACTATTACACCAAATCTGTAACTATAATGCCAAAATCGTAACTATTACACCAAAATGTTTACTATGACACCAAAATCATAACAATTACACCAAAAATTGTAACTTTTATGCCAAAATCATAACTATTATGCCAAAACCATAATAATTACACCAAAATGGTAACAATTACACCCAAATCCTAACTATTATGCCAAAATTGTATAATGCTTGCATCTCTCCAAAAAACATGCATCTCTTGGTTCAAGGTCACTGTGACTTGCCAGCCTAAAACCTTGAAGTTCCTGATATTCTCTTGATGGGATGACAATAAGGTCTCTCCAGAAACCACAGAAATACACACAACCTTTCTCCAACTTTCAGCTCCATTAATTACCTATTGCATGTTTTATGGTGTATTCCTGTATCTGAATGTGTCATCAGCTTGTACACAGCAAACCACATCCAGAGAACACATCACATTCTGCAGCAGAAGCAATCTCTCCAACTTGTCTGATTATAGAACATGACACCTCCAAGTGCAGGACTTTTACAAACCCATAAAAAACTCCCTCTTACAGCTGGAACCAGCTAACATAAGCCATGAAATAATTTTACAATCAAATATTTACACTTATACAGTGTTAAAAAATTGAGCATGAATGTCAAGGTGTTCTTGTCATGGCCCCAGTGTAAGTTAAAGATTTCGGGTGTCCTTAGATTCAACACTACAGAAACAAACCTGAAGGATCCAAGAACCCTTATTACTCATTGATGAGTATTTTTTTTAAATTGGCTAGCATTGTGCACAACCACCAGTGGCTAAAGTAATGACGTAACTCCTGCTGGGGTATCATGCAGGAAGCAGAGGTACTGTAAGTCCCCATGATCCCCAGGGAGGTGGCCTAGCTTTGGTTACTGGTGGCCTATAGCCCGTGTTTTAAAACTGTATATATAATATTGTTACCGGTATGCTAAAATATGTTTCATGAATTGTTTCTAAATATAGTATGCTCAAATATGTTTTACAACTTGTTTTTAAACAAAACTTTGCATTAATGACAAAATTGTAAATATATTAACTTGGTCTCTTCACTATATGGCTGAGATAATGCTGATGCGACGTAAAATTTTAACTCACTCACTCACTATTAATTTGAACAAAATGAATAAATCAATGGTTGACCAAACAGACCAATGATCGCTATGCATGAGCCACAGGGACATCAAGTCTTTGACAGGCAGTTAGAAGCTGGAACAACAAGAAGATATGGGTTTACATTATGGAAGCATGTG